CAGGGAGCGCGCGCGCGCCGCGCACGCGGAAGGACCCCAGGGCTGCCCCGCCGCTCGCCTGCACGGACTTAGGTGCAGATATTTAAAACACAAACCAGAATAATTTAGTCTAGTTTTCCACACGGGAAAGTCGCGGTGGAGTTGAGGAAACACACGTTGCTCAGAGCCTCGACAGCGCGTTTATTAATTCACAGTTTTAGCTATGTTAAACTGCTCCTGGCTGCCCCTCGCCGCAATGGGCTCCTGCAGCAGGCGGGGAAGTGTTTCCGAAAGGGCGGCAGCTGGCAGGCGGCACTGCCCACGGCCGCGGAGGCAGCAGGTACCTGCACCCTGCTTGAGGAGAAGGGGGAGAGGGTTCTATAGGCCTGACTGACCTCCAGCTGAGAGAGAACCAAGGACTCGGCTTAGAATGTATTGTGGTGACAACAAGCGAGCATAAAGTAATTGCTTAAATAACACGGATTCTCCATCCAGGAACAACACAGGAGTTGTGGAAGCTACTTTTAAAATCACCTTTGGATCCTCAGTTACATATCACAGAACCAAAACAATTTAGCACCTGGAAATAACCCAGACTCCTGTGACCAGCCAGCTCTCAAAATCTCACAGAGATACAAACCAGTCCAGTAACAGGGGCCAGGAACTTCCACATGTATTGCATGTTGGTTTAGTTTGGTGACTTTAGTACAACTGACTGTAAAAAGGGGGTAAACCAAGCTTCAATGGCAATGGCAACACTGATTTTAATTTTTAAAAGCCTTTGTTCTACGTAAATCTTGCTTGCAAATTCCAGCCCTGTTGGAGTAAACACCATGCCTCTTAACGATTTTATAGACATTCTCTTTCCACCTACTGCAGTTCTACATCAGCAATACACTGTCACTCTGTGTCCTTCCGTACTGTTGAGAGGAAAAAAAAAAAGGAAAAAAAAAAATGGCATTTGGATACATGGTATTCCCAAGGAAACAAGACTGCAGAAAGCAGAGCACATAGAAAAATAACAAATCTTCAGGAAACATTATCTGGTACAAAATTCCAAAAATCCAAGAAATGTTAGGAACCTTGCTTTCTCAATAAAACTAAGCAGTTTATAACATTTAAGCTCCACTGTTTAAATAAAACCACAGCTGTTTGAAAGTTTTCTATACAAAATCCCAAGTTGCACAACTGGGAAGCTGCTACAGGAAAACTATTTATCAATCTGTCTTGGTTTAAATTCTGGTAAGTCTTCAGAAACACTAAACGTCAACTAAAATTTTCACTAAATTCTAAAACTGACAGCAAAACTATTCCTAATAACCTAGAATCGGTAACATTAACCTTTCAATACCAAAGTTGAGCCAAGCTATTTGCATAGATGTATTTATTCTTAGCTTTTAATACTGCCAAAAAAAAAAGAGTTTTGAATTTAAACATTTGAACAATGAAGTATTTAAAACCAGGTAACATTGTAGATTGAAAAATGTGTTTAATACCACTGGATGTATTTTGGGATAAAATATTTAAGTTTTAAAATATAGCAAAAATATGATTAAACTATTGAATTAATAATCATAAAGGCTGTAGAACAGTCCTTTTTGAGCAGGTGAACCCAGGTAAACCCAGTTACTGAGACAAAACCACCAATGCAACAGAAGTGTAGCAAGACAATTCCTCAAGGTATAGGTATGAAGTATTTGCTTAAAAGGGAAGGACATAAAACATTTAAATAGATTTATTTTTCAAGTGTTTACATAACCATGGACCAACTTGTTTTAAACGTTGAGTTAAAGAACTGCAAAGACATATATACAGGTATGTTTAAGGCCATCAGAAAATTTAAATCTGACAATTAACTAAAACATAACTCTGAAGACTTATTTTATACGTTAGATGCATTACTAAAATTTATTCTGAAATTGAATAGCTTCAAAAAAGGAAATACATTTTCATTTAATAAAAGTCTAACGGATAATTACTAAAATTTGACTTGATACCAAAATTTCAGGTGTACTCTTGATCCACTACTGGGTATTTGAGCACATTTTATAGAAAGGAGAAATTGGCCACCATAGTTGGAACGGAGCTAGTTACATCCATCTGAATATTTTATGAACATTAAAAAGTTGGGGGGGGGGGCACGCAGGGGAACAAGAACACAGCTTTTTAAATTGATGGATTAATAATTGCAGCAAGAGCTAACAGATAAATTTCAGTTCAGAACAAAATGCCAAGTTAAACTGAAGTTTTCCTAATACAGTTCTCTTAAGCACCAAACTGGCTTTAGGATGTGGATTTTTGGAAAACAGATTTCTTTCCCTCCATTAAGGCTTGATGTAGAGTCACAAATAATTTTAATTGCATTATATTAAAAAAATAAAACAACCAACTAAGACAGGGGTTAATAGAATAGCACCTCTTCCCTTAGAGAAACCATTTAGAAAATCAGTTTCTCATCAGGGACTCTTTGCCATACCACACTCAAAATTCAACAACACCCAGTTTCTGAAACCCTGTGGGAAGAGAAGCAGAAATCCAAGATCCTGCTTCTAAGTTTTTGTAGAAATGTATGAGGGTCAGGGGCTTACTTCCACATGGGGAAGAGACATTAAGTTTCTGCTAGAGTGTAGATATTTTCTTTCCCTTTGATGTTAAGCAATTTGCATACAACCTCAAACCCTAAGCAGCCAGGTGCAGTGGTTCTCAAAAACATGGAACCTTTCCTCTTGGAAAATTTACTGACTGGGATGAAAAACATTTAAACCTAACAGCAAACAGTATTTGCAAACTGGGAAGTCTGAAGGACCTTCCCCATCTCTCTCCCTCTGGAAAATTGAGTTGGCCAAAGAGAAACATTCTAGTTTAAGCAATTAGCCACCTTCATGACTATCAGGTACACTAACCTGGTGTTAACTAAGGGAATTTTCCCGAAGTTCACATCAAAGCTCTTTCTGCTAAGTACTGCTGCTGACTATAAGACAGCCATAATTACTAATGAGACCAATCAAGCACTCAAGAACAAGGAAATTTAACGAATTTTGCCAGAGTAAACCAGAATTAGAAGGAAACTATGTGGTTTTGCAGCATTTGAGTTTCCAGTAAAGTTCCAGACAATAATCAGAACCGTATTTTAAGCCCAGATTTAATAAGTATATTATCTTCTAATTTCAAAAGGCAAGTTTCATGGTTCAGGACTGTTCCCTGCTCACTCTTCAAATGAGGAACTGATTTTTAGGCCAATCAGTGGTGAAGAACATCACCCCACTCATAGAACTTTGTTTGGTGCCAGCTCAGGCAATTAAAAACCTTTCTGTAAAAACAGGCGCATAGATTTGGAAGACTAAAATATAGTCTACTGCATACAGTTGCAAAACTCAGCTCTGGCTATAAATTTTTATCAAGCATCTGCATACTTTTGAGTACATGTTAATCAAGAATAGTTTTGCATGAGCAAGAGGGATGACCTTTATTTTTCAAGATGTGACTGGCAGCCTTATTAATGGGGCTGGTTCATGAGCAGTGTTCTTGTCCCTTTGTATCCACAGAAGACTTGGGATGGAAGAAAACACAGCACAAGTTTGTCTATTCATCCCAAACACTTCTATCACAGATGTGCATTCATAATGAATGGTTCTTGCAAAGAAGGGGTAAGGAAAGTCATCTACTCAGCTTAGACAATGCAAGAGCATCAAAAAAAGAATAGGAAGATCAAGATTTTTCTCACCAATTGGTTTTGAATCTTACTCTGCTGGACCACAAGTTTTGTCCCATTTGCCTCATATGAAGTTTAACCATTTTTTCAGTATCATCACCTTTTAGTTAAAGCCTTTTCAGTAACTTCTCTCTCTCCAAAGTAGTGACTCAAATGCCATCTGGGGGAAAGAAGGAAGCTTGATCCATTCTCCAAAGAAACAGATGAAAGTAATCAAAGAATCTACCTAACAAATAAGGTCAGCAGGACATTTTGAGAAGACACATTTTTAAGGTCACAAAGTTCTCTGAGAGTTATAAAGTCCCAGCAGAATACATTAACTGGCTATTAACAAGAAGTCAACATAACTTTTCCAACTACTACTCTGAATGATGTTATGCTTTAGAGATTTGCCATACACAAGAGACATATGTTGGAAAGAAATCGGGGATTAAGTTAAGTCTAGAACTCCCTCCACAGCAAAATCCTGAAGTCGTATTGGTGAACTGTTCTTAAAAAGACAGCTCATATACAGGGAGAACGCAAAAGTAAAATGTAGAAACTGACCTTTGGTATGAGAAAATAGCTCATGATATCCAAGTTAAGTATTTAAGTTGTAGGATGTCTAGGAAGGATCCAGGTTTCCCAGACACAGTAACATTAGGTAGAAATATATAGAAACGCTAGTGATTTATAAATTATTTACTCAAGAATCCTTGTATTACACCCAAGAGGAAATAAGACACTGAAGCCAAAGTCCGTTCTCAAACACACACCACTATACGTTATCACAGCCTAGCAATATTAGATAATGAAGCCCCTGCAAAATAAAAGTCTTATCTCCTCACAGTAGCTGTATATGCAAGAAGGCAGTCATAACTAGGCTGTTATGCTCCCCAAAGACTGACTCACAGACGCATCAAGTAAAACCATCAAAGAGTGCAACTGATGTGTCTACATAAAGGCTCAGAAGTAGCACTTTGTTACTTGCTCACGCTTCCCAACCACAGGCATCAGGCCCGAGGTATCCTACGGCAGCACCTAACTAGAATAAACACAGCTCATCCCCAGCATCCAGGAAGGGCTCTGCAAAAGAACCAGCCCTGAACTGCCACTGTTTGGCCTCAATGTTATCACTCTGTATAATGGTCTTTATTCAAAAGATGAGCTTTTCCAAAAGAAATGGATCTAGGAGTGCTTGTGATCTGGATGTAACTCAGATCTAGAGCGAAGTTACAGAGTGAAGATACTTCAGCTCCCCTGAACAGGCCAGAGAACCCGTTAGTGGATCTGTGTGCCATACGTGACTCAAACCAATTTTTCCAGTATAGTGTTTATTAGACACATGTATTGAGATTAAAGGAGTCAGTGCAAATTCCCAGACTAAACACATCTTAGGTATTTGTTTTACAGTTGTTATTATTGTAACAGATCTCCCTCTATCAGCACAGAGCAGAGCAGCTACTCTAAAGACCATTTTCATACATGAAAAGGCTTACGAAGTTGTATCTCAATTAAGAGGCCACTCAACTACCCAGTGTTTTTAATAAATTTAAATTGAAAATAAAACCAAAACCTTAAGTGGAATGTTCTGATCCATTCAGCGGTCTTTAATTCAGAATGCTGCAAATTTACTGTCAAACTACAAAGAGCTATTTAAGAAGCATTTGGTGTGCAATGGAAAAAGAGCTTGTGTTCTACCAACCATTTAAAAAGCCAATGCACAAAAAATATTTTTTAAAAAATTCACTGTTTTCCTACATCAGTTCAACATTATAAGGTTCATCTTTTTATTTTTTTCCAGTTAAAAAACAGTTGGGACTATTATCTCAGTAACAGCTTCCTGAAAAAAAAAACCAAACCAGAACAGCAACTTCTCACCGGACTGCAGTTTATATTGTTATACTGGTACGGAATGTTTCTAGGCTTTGACTACAACTGCTGCTTCCAGCCATCAGCATCGTTTCAAGATGTCTGGTGTGTAATATTGTCTTCACAAGCTTATCACTTTTCTCAGTAACAACATATCTCATTTGTGCTCTTCACACACAACATGAAAAAGTGATAGTACCACCTATATCTGTGGAGTTTCAGATTATTTCACAGAGTCAAAATATCTGACTAAGTTCTGAAAGTACAGTTCTGATACAAAGTAGAAATGACCCTACAAGTTAAAACAACCTTCAGTTTTGTATATAACAGTTAAACAACATGTAGCTGTTCCTTAATTTCACCTTTCCACAGGTAGGAATTATTTGATAAGCAATACTTAACATATATAGCACTTTTCTTCTTGCACGTGCTACAGAATGCAACAGAACTACCAACACCTCTATGGAGGCAGCTATCAATATATTCTCCCCACTGCAGAGAGAGTGCATGTGCGCGAAAGGTAGGCACAAGTGATTTTCCGAAGATTATACCACAAGTACGCAGTAAAACTTGAATAAGACTTGGTATTTTCCAGCTCCTAGTCTTATACTATTTCTTTTATACATCGCTGCCTTGATGTAAAGGTAAGTCCATAAAAAGAAAAGTTTCCCAGAAGTCACAGCTATCAGAATAAAATCAGAAAAAACAAGAGGAGGGTTTACATCTATTCAGGAAAAAGGGAATCTATCAGGGGAAAAAAAAACGCAACCAAAACCTCGTGAAATGTCACCCCATCACATTAAATTTGTTTCAGTCGTTGAAAACCAGTGTTCCAGGATACAATTTTTATAAACATGTTTTATTTGTCTTGCTTATACCATTAGAACTGTAACTGCTGGCTGTCATTTCCCTTAAAAGGGGAAATCAATTCAAACACATACTGGTGCTTTTCAAAAGATAGCAATTAAAAGGGCAGCAGCAGCGGGCATTTGAGATTTCTTAAAACCTTCAAGGCTGCAGGAAAGACAAAAGGACATGTGACCAAAAGTGTTATGATTATCCATTAGAGATTTCCATCAGTACCGGCATCAGTTATTTAGGTGATAATACAGCAAGGTCAAGTATTAGTGACAGACAATGTGCAAGTCATAAGGAATGATAGAGAATACCAATCCTTACAAAAGTCATTGCTATCAAAGAAACTTAAAAGTGTTTCAAAGAGATATCTAAATACTTCACATCAAATATACAGTGGCCATCCAGATCATCTCACATTTGCTGCAGAATTTTTTCGTGCCAAATCAAAGCTTTTTTTTTCTTTTCCTTCAAAATAAAAAAATTACACAGTTACATTAGCAGTTATGCAAGCAATCTTAAATCCTCAGCCACAGTAAACGGGGCCCTGGTGATAAGGAGTGCTGCAGCTAAGGGTGCTGCTTCTTTGTCAAAAACTGGCTGTAAGCCTATTTGTCTATTTAGGGAAATCTGCATCACTAACATCTTTAACTGTTCAGTGCTTCAATTTAGTGAGAAAAGGCTGAAATGCAGTTGCACTACCAAGCCACACTTCACCTTTTCCATCCTTTCATGGAAATATTAAGTTTTATTAACTGCCACCACAGTAAATCGTTACGAATTTGCAGATTTTATCCAAATTTGTTACATCACTTTTAAATGTCAGAAGTGAGTCTTTTGCTTTTTCCTGCCACTTCAGTTAACCATGGAGATTGGATCACCCTGGAAATTGCCTTTTTTGCTTTACTCTTAGCAAGGGTGAAGAATCTGAATCTCATGTGCAAGGCTCAAGATGATGCTTAGGACAGAACATGCAGAGTAAACGTTGTTTCGTTCCTTTCAATATCCAGGTAATATAAAGCTGGCAACTGTAGTCCTGTCATTATGGTAATGAAAATAGTCCCTTTACAACAAACTTCCTGTAAGGGAGAACAAATAGATAATAACTCTTCTGGTAACATGTATAGTACACTGGCCAGTGTGTTTTTGGCGTTTAACGTAATCCTGTGAATTTATTTAATTCACTTGCTGAGCATTCATTTGAGGCATCCCTCTGTTTGGTCTTGGGGGCCCTCCACGACCTAGAAAACATAGAAAAAGGTTTTTGAATTAAGCATGAAGTGGTTATTAAAAAACCTCCTAAAAGTCCTGGTCTAAACTGGGTAAGAATTCCCAAGTGTGCATCTAAACTATCTATAGTTCTAAAAGTGACTTCAAATCAAAACAGTATGTAGTGTGTCTTTACTCTTTTCAGCTTTATCCCAATACTTTTTTCCCCACAAATACAAAGTTGTAATCCAAGTAAAACATTTTGCAGTAATGTAAGGCAATAATTGGTTACTGTATTTTAAGTACTAGTACTGTGAGCTAACTAACCGTGTTTTAACTTCCATCTTCTTCCTTCCTTAAGGAAGCGACTGCCTGTAGCTCACGCTCTCGGTAGGTATGTAATTGTAGGTCACTTGGGGAATCCCCCTCACACTTGCCTGCACATCCCTGACAACAAACTTCAAAACTTTTCTTCATTATAGTGTGCTTCCTAAAACATGCTCCTAGCTTTACCACAGCCTAATAGTACATTGAATTCAGGCCACAGTTCCACACTATAGGGCTTCCAGTACCAAGACAGTCAAGGACAGAACTCTTCCAAACTGAATTACCACACAGAACTGTGGTTTCACAGACAGCCTCAAGCTGACCGCACGGATAAGATGCTCGGTGATAACACAAGATTCTCATGGAAACATCTGTATTGAGACAAGACAGTCTCATCACCAAAAATATACTGAAAAACTGTGGAAATTCTGTTGAACACAAAATTTACAAGTTCAACTTGTATGTGGGGTGGTTTTCTCAGATGAACACATGGCAAATACTCTTATGAAGCTGCAGGACAAAATACCTCCATAATCTAAAAGCAACAATTCTATAGGATCAAGGAACAGATGAGCATGGAGGGAAGTTCTGTATCCTTAGATCAAAAGAGACCTCCACAAGAGAGGCAGAACATCTTTTAGTGCAACAGTTAACATACAGTTTTGAAAGCTGACAGCTCAAGCCTTATGTCTGCTTTATGAGCAAGTCTTACTTGCCAACTACTAATGCACCTAGTAAGCAGATCTTAAGTCATGATAAACCTCACCTAAACCAAAAAAATCACTTTCCTAAGGCTTTCGTTAACAAAAAGGAACTAAATAGTGCTGCTACATTTAAAGTGTCAAAAGCAATTGTTGCTTTAACTTCTTTTCAAAGAATTCCTCATTCAATGGCCAACTAAACTTCCACCACATGTTCAAGGGATCACAGTGTAATTCGTCAGAAGGGACCTCAAGAGGTCTGCCAAGTCCAACCCCCGTTCAAACGCAGGGTCAAGTCAGAGGAAAGTAAGCTTATTCTTCAACTACGACCCGCTGAATAAGGAGTGAGGTCACTTTTAAAAACCAAAACTCCAGAGGCTGGATCAAAAATTTCCATTCAGCTGAGATCAATTATTCACTGCTCAGGAATTACCTCTAGGAGCTCCCCGAGGTCCACTTTGTCCAGAGCCACGTTTGAAGTTCTGTTGATATCCATCCTGAAGCAAAGAAATGAAAAAAGTTACAACATAAAACCTGGGCATTTTGTTATGTTTCCAGAAGTTATTAATTGCCAATAAAATAAGGAGCTTTTAAAATAACATGCACTGATAAAACACCTCTGACTTCAATATACAGTATTTTATTCATTTAAATTAATCGTCAGAAAATAAAGTCTTACTCCTACTAGCACCTAGCAGGTATAATAACACACACAAAGACAAATTCTCTCTCCAGTTACAGGATATGTTATTCAATATAAACAAGAAATATAAGTAGATGTCTTCACTGTTCAAATTTTTCAAACCACACAGGAGTCACACAGATGAATCTGCTTCAGGACCACAGTCAATAAACAAAGCAACATTCTAACAGCAGGATCAAAAGCTGTCATCTCATTTGCTTGTAAATACTTGTTTGGGGACAGTTAGACATTTTCCAGTCAGTATAAGCTTTGAGCAAACTGGACACACTTCCTTCAGAACAACAAAATTCTACTCAAATGTCAGAGTAACAGATCAGCAGAAGATTTGCATTCCCAAACAAGTTTGAAGGATTTAAATCCTTCAAGTTTCTTTCTCACAAATAGCTGTGAAAACAATTAGAGAGTTCATTATAATTCACTCAACCTTGCTCTAATTACTAGGCTAACTCCTTCAGAGATCAGCCAAACAGAATATGATTCCCAATTATAACCAGCCATTTGATATTCTGCTCACCCCAAATTTTTGTTTTCATTAGCAATAAAGTCAGTCCTCAGAAAAGTTTTAACTAATGGATTTAAATGCTTTTTTTGACAGCTACTTTCTTCTACTTCTAGACTATCACAACATAATGGTAGCTTACCCGCTGGTAGTTTGAATAATCCCGAGGAGCATTAAACTGGGGCTGCGTGTAACCACTGTTTGGAGTGTTGGAAAAGGAAGGACGGTAGCCATCATATCCTCCTAAGGAACAGGGCACAAGTCTTTCACTCGGAAATGATAACCTATTACTTGATGCTACCATACAAAGAAAAGCAGTAACAGCACTTTACTTAAATCTGAGGGAAAAAACCCTTTAGGAAGTACTGTTTACATGCAAGTCAAGGAAATGTTTGCAGCATCAGTGCTCGTACTATTACAAGAAACAAGAATGAAGACCTAGTAAGAATTGGGAGGAAATAGCAATTCAATGCATTTCTCTAATCTGAGGTTTGATTTCTGTAACATTCAATCCAGAGCTAAACGTAACACTGGGATCTAAATTAACAGCTGCAACTTGCAAGGCCACAATAGCCAACTGAAGCAAGAAGCTGCTCCTAAGCCAAAACTCTTCTGGAGTGCTGGGAACCATGTCCAAGTATGGCTCCAGTCCCAAGGGTCTAAAACTCCTGGAATCCAGATCAATTTTAAGCAGACAGATAGCGACCACTGCATCCCTACTACAGTCAGTTGTGGTTTTATTATACAGGTTTCTCCTCTTACTCTCCAACCCCACGAGGAAGAGAACATGGCAAAAGCAGACAGTACTGTGGGCATTATAGTCTAATCCCAGAACACCTGCAAGGAAACTGTCTCTCCCATTCTAACGTACACATCTTTGTAACATTGACAGCCACATATGATTATCCCCAGGAATCATGACAATTCTCTTATCTATCCAGAACTAGTATGATTCCTCCACTCCTGTTAATTCCCTCAGAGTAATGACTTTAGGACTTTCTTGTTCTTGTATTACTGTATTATCCAGACTATCTTCAGTATGATGAAACACAGAACTATAAACAATACTGCTTCTACCATAACTGAAATAAAAAACGTTTTTGAAGTATCAGTTGGCACCTAAATTCCTCACTCAGTGGCTGTGAATTTTTGTCAGATATTTCCAGGTTTGCTTATACTTTCAGTCGATGCCTAATCAAACTCTTAAGCCTTCAGTACAGAACAAATGCTTCTTTGTTTATATCCTAGTAGGAAGCCTAAACAAACAGCTAAAATTTCAGCTGCTTCAGTTAGGTAAAACAAACAAAATTTTTAGTACAAGTATAAGTATCTTAGAGATACTACTACAGTATAAAAACTACAGTACGTCAGTTTCAACACTTGGTATCTTGACAGTGTGTTTCCAGAAAGAAGTCAAACGAGAGAGTTTAATAAAGAAGTCAAATGAGAGAGTTTAATAATCTGTTTACCTCTAAATCCATTTGCCGGTCCCCTGTAACCGTTCATTAAGCCACGGGCCCCACGTGACCCACCACGAGACACTCCTCGACTGTTATAATAAGGCTGACTGTTACGTGGAAATCCAGTATTCTGTTGGGGAGGTTGCTGGTGGTTACCTGCCACTTGATGAGTCTGGTCTGGGGAACCATGGTAAGTACCAACCACTGTATTAGAATTGGAAGGGGAGGAAAAAAAGAAGTATAAAAGTCCGTGTGTATTTATTTATGTTCCCACTATCTTCAAACTCAACATTCAGAGCCCTGAAATACCACTGAACATATCAATAAATGCTCACCCATTCAAAGAAAAATAATCTGCAGAATTAAGTTTACTAGTCAGATATCCCACAATATTAAAACAACCTAGAAATGGTAGAGAGTTAAGTCAGCATCAAGAAGTCTCTAGCATAAGCTCATCAACCAGTACTTCTAATAGAGGTACAATCTTCCTGTGCTACTTTGAACTCTTTAAAAATCAGCAACACATACTCTAGAGAAAAAAAACCAACCAAACAATTAGTTAACCCACTTCCGTAACTTCCTCCCCTCTGAACTGGCAGAGAGCCACTAAGAAATACCTGCCTTCACCAACCAAACTCTGTTAGGTGTAGCTGTCCAAACTAAACTGAGATTGATGGGAACATTTTAACAGAGCTGACATTTTGACTGTACAGGCCATGAGATTCTTTCTGCAAGATGTGTAAATCAGAAGGCAAGAGTGAGATGGATAGCTTGAAACTATCTGCACCTTTGCAGTAAGACTAAATCTTTGAAGTATGGTATGCCACAACATCTTCACAGGAATTAAGTGGATTACAAAAGCAATCCAAGGGTTACAGATTCAGTAAGTGTAATTCTATGGAATTCTGTATGTAAGAGCAAAACAGCTGTAGAAGTTAGCCTGATACCAAATGCTGAAGCAAGATCTCAAAGAAAATTTCTAAGTGCCAAGTCCCTCTCATATGCAGAAAATCACCCAGCCCAGAGCACAACTTTGTCTACTGCACTCAGCCACAGAGCACTATGGAACTTTTGCAGAGATCCTCCCTTCTCCCCAGCTTCCCATCAATTCTGGTGGAACACATGAAGTGGTCATCCTATTGCGTGTTTCATGTGTGCAGGTTCTGTTCTAAGGCCACTGCATTTTCTGAGTATCAACAGTTGCATTTACTGTCACAATAAGTTAAGCATTTAACATTGCACAGCCCACCAGCGCTCCCCAGACTGTCTTTCTGCCTTGCGCTGCATATAGCTCAAAAAACACAGATGAATAATGAAAACTTGGTTCTTCCTCTTCTCATCCACCCACCCCAGTATCCCACTAACAAGGAAGACAAGTTTCAAGATCATAATCAGTTAAAAGAGAAAAAGGTTCAGGCTCTTTTTCCTACTCCACCTCCAGTAGTTGTTAGCACTTCACCCTTGTCATCCCTGTCCCACGTCCTTCACTCAAAATCCCTCTCTGCACCTGCAATTTTATCTCAGTGGAAAGTGAGGAGAGTGCTGGGAGACAAATGGCTTTATACACAGACTATTTTACTGTTTGTCTGGTTTTTTGAAGTTGTAACTTGGAAGGCATTTTGCTTGCTGTATTCAAATCATGTCTAATGGATTTTAGCAAAAGGTTCTCTAGACCTTTATGAACCTTACATCATCTGTGAGCAGTGCAATACTTGTTCTCAATTCTAGCTTATTATTTCCGTTTTAAGATGTCATCTTAAATAGTACTTTTTTTTAAAGCAAATTTAAGGATAATCCAACCTTTAATATCAGCAGAGCAAGTACTCCACTATACTGCTTTCATCTTTAGAATAATCCCTAATCCTGTTCATGTTTTATTAAAACCCATCTAAAACTGAACGAAGTGGCAAAATTCTTTTAATAGTTTAAGAGATATATACTGAATTTCACCCCCTTTGATATTCAAACTGTGACAGAACAACAAAACCCAGTATTGTTAGGGGAAAGCCTCGAAAGACTACAAACATCTGAGAATGCTTTGCTACACTACCTAGGACTTGACAGCCTGATCATCTTCTCTACAGAGACCATTTGTGGTTTTAGTTTTCGCTAAACTAAGTTTACCTGTCTGGAGTTGTTCTTGCTGAAGATCTGATTGTTCTACTTGGTGAGGCTGATTGGAGAAACTCTGGTTGTAACTGGCCTGGTATTGATTTTGCTGCTTAAGGGTTTCTGGCTCATTAACAGGAGGAACAGGCGCATTCATGTTGAATACCTGTAATGTCAGAAAAATAGCTCTCTGGTCCAATTCATTTCTTAGAATTCTTCATTACATCATGTAAAGAAGCATGCAAGTCTGAGAAGTGTCAATAGCCAAAGACTATTTTATGTAATTACAGGACTGATTCAATTCCAGTGTTTGTTTAACAACAAAAAGAAAGACTACCAAAATAAAGGGATCCAATATTCATTTACTACTTACTGTTTGCATGGATTGGAATGGAGCTGCATTAACATTGATTCCGCTGCTATGCAAAGGCTTGCTAGATCCAGCCTGGAACACCTGTGGCTGGGATGCAGTGGGAAGTGATGATGATGATGGGGTCTGGTCTGCATTCAGGGACATTGAAGCCTAATAATTAAAACAAACCACATTTTAGCAACTCTTGAATAATACCAAAAATTCAATTTAAAAACTTCACTTAAAAGTGACAATGCCTCAGGTTCACTGCAATGAGTATTTTCTACTTCAGCTGAAGAGCCTCATTGAACAGAGTAATGGGAGAAGAAAAATCTAGCAGTCTTCTCCCTTGTTAACTTGAAACACAACTATAAATAACTAGATGGGGAAATGAACACGTTTCTGGGCTAACTGCTAGCCAATGTTAAAAAAGAAAAATCACATTTCCTATGCTCATAAGCTGCCACTGGTATGTTACTTCTAACTACACAATCTTGTAAATTAAAAGTCTTACTATGAAGGACTTAACTGGTCATAGACAGGCTCAAAATTCTGAAATTAAATGGAACCAAAGTGGCCCTATCAAAAGGTAACTGAAAATCACAAAACTTAATTTACAAAGAAACACAAACTAACATCTGATCACAGTTGCAAGCAGACTCCTTCCCACCCCTGTGAACTTTGACTTGCCTGAATCTGGTCAATAGATTCTTTCTGTGGCCGTTGCTCTGTTGTGTGAGAAGGCTGATACATGGGTTGGGAGGCTGTATATCCCTCACTTGTAGAAGAAACCAAGGGAACCTAACAAAATAAACCCCATAGCCCCCAGGTCAGCTAATGCTCACACACAGTTTTATAAAAAGTATCAGAGAACTCTGGAATGAATGGTATTCTCTAGTAGAAGTACGTATATTCCATCAAGTCTGTACAATCATTAAAAATTAAGTACTTGTTAAGAAGTAGAGGTTTAACCACCTCATCTTGACATCCATTCTAACATGCCACGCCACCCACCCCCTGCCAGATTGTATTCTGTTGGTATTTCTCAATCAGCTGGACATGTATTTTCTTTTACTGAAGAACACTTTTCTCCTCATAGTCTTATGCAACCCCAACTACTGTAACAAAAAAGCTGAGGAAAGATGGACAGAGATAGAAACATGCAGAAGTTTAAATGACAGAACTCCAAGCTCATACAGAAATAGAGAAGTGCTGGTTTCCAATGGGACCAAATTTGCTCATTTTACAGCCTCTGCTCCCCTACAGAGAGAACAGTGAAAACTCTAGCCAGCAAAGCAGAGGACTTTGCACTTAAGACTACCGGGGACTTTAAGAAGAAACTGATAACAACTGATGGGTGTGTTCACATGACCTTGCTGAACATTCAAAAGGAAAGAGGTAAGTTTAGCTACTGCTTGCAAGGCTCCCAAGAGAATCATTGGCACTGGTTGAGGTAATGAAATTAAAGAAAAAAAAAAAAAAATCATTTCCATTGGAGTAAAATAAAAGCTAGTGCAGTGAGAACTTGGCCAAAAAAATTTTCTACATCTACAAAACAGAGCTGCTGAGAGTACTAGCACATCAGCAGGTACATACAGAGGAAACTCAAGAAAAACTACCCCACATTCCTGTTTCTATACAAACGAGTGATTTAAAACTTGCAGATCTAATCTAGACAAGATAAAGCAAGTGATTTATACTACCACTACTCGAGATACACAATCTATCCAGATTTCTTTTAGTTTTCAAATACCTACAGGGATCAGATTCATTACTTGAGATGAGGAGAGTCCTCTGAGATGCCACACACGCTTAATACAGTATCAGAAAGTTCTTTAATCACTAGACTATTCAGTAAGGAACTGACACATCTTAATGCAAAGGTGATGAGGTATAAATGATGATTAGAGAAGCAAGTTTAAGAGATCCTACCTAAACAGGAATTTGGGGAAATCTCAACTGAAAACAGCACTCAAACTCATTCTGACTGCCCTACAACCCCAAAATTAAAATACCATCCAAGCAACTGGGACTAATTCTTAACAAGTAAAAAACCCACAAACTATATAGTTAGTCCATTAAATCTATCTGTGGTCTGATGCCCACGTGAACAGACACAGACCACCCTTTAACCAAGTTACTTTGGTTTGGGCACTTCTGTTGCAAATATGCAAATAAAAGACAACTTGCTTCTATTGAAATTAAAAATATTCCTACACACAACTTAACATGAAAGAACACTTCTAGGTAAAGATTGTCATCTTGAACAGAATGCACTGAGAAACCTCAAGCTAAACTGCTATTATTAGAGTAGAACTACACAGAGCAACATTCTAAACAAAGTCCTTCCTTTCAATCATGAAAACACCCACTCAAAGTTCACCACCACATAGACCACAGATTTTAAGCGATGGCAGCCTAACACACAGGCACATGGAAGTCAATTTGTGAAATGAAAATCACATCCACTGATGCGAGCTCCACAGATTAAAGGAACTGCTGAGAAGTCCACCCCAGGGCATTAGAAGGAGCCGTGCAAAATGCAACTGCTTCTGTGACTTCAGTTCGAGGGGCCTCTAATTAGAAATGCAGCTTCCTCAAACTTGTACTTCAACCCTAAACCTGACAGTTTTCCAAACAGGATAATAATGCTTGGTAAGACTCCAGTTACAGAAAATATGCAATGTCTGCATAGCATACAAACTGTATATAGTAATGCTTGTAAGTGACAATGCTGAAGAGAGAATGGGGACAACCCATTTCCTAAAATTGGAACTTCAGCTTTTTCTTTGAGTTTCTCATACAGTTAGGAATTACATCCTGTTATAACATCAGTCAAGCCGAAAATCAATTTAAAATCCAAAACACAATTTGCTAAACATTTTACCTGCGTAGCTTCTGGTTGCACAGGAACTTGACTAGGCTGGGCAAGTCTTGACTCAGCATGAACTGAAGCAAAACAATTTCACTTATTATACAGTACAACCAAACTTTTTACAGAACAGCATTACCATCTTAATGCAGTTATTTGAGGGATGATCATCTTTATGATGGCACGTATACATTATTTTGAGTACAGCATGGCAAAGCTATACTCAAAACACCAATTACCACTTCCATGCTAAGTACATTTTTTTCCAGTCATCCAAATTAATCCAGCAATTTCCAAAAGACTAAAAAAACCTGTTTTGCCCATTTAAAAAAAGTTCCACATTTCCAAGCAAAACCCAGAAGCAATTGAGAACTGCAAGTCTACAAATAATATGCTTCAAAAATACAATCACATTTCCAAGAAAAACCCAGTTTAACAGTACTGTATTATTACTTGTGATGACCCTTTCACTACATAGCAGTAACTGAAGCATTTCTAGTAGATGACTGGCAGGCTTCCCCAATATTTACATTTAGGATTTACCATTACAAACCTGGAGGGCAAACCATTTGTGGCATGTCCAAATTCTGTGCTGGATTCATGGGCTGTGCAGATACAATGGCAGGATCAAGTGTTTGGTTCTCAAACTCCAGCATAGAGTCCTGGGAAAAAAAAAAAACAAAACAACTGTATTTTTTAAATATTCAGAATACAGAAATGACCAAGTCACAATGAAGGAAGCTTAGTCCACAGTTGGCACAATTAAATGTATGGTAAAACCGGCAAATCATTCAAGATAATAAAAATGCCAAAATTTGTCACAATAAAAATTCAGTCCTTGTGAAAAGAACATAACTAGGAGGGAGATTTTAATAGCCAGACAGAATAGGCAGCGAACTATTCTTTATTCTTCATCCTAAATTAGCACTTTGTAGGAAGAAACAAAAAAGGAATGCAAGAAGTGGATCTCTCATTTGTTACCAAGGCAACTACTCTTTGTAAAGGAGGTGGAGAGGCTTTTTCTGATGTATTCCCTTATCTCCCAATGCCTTTCTAGTTGTTCTAACTTTAAGAGGTTAAAAGAGAGCCTTCCAAAAGCAACACAGTAAGTATTCCCTTCACATGTGGTGGAAGTTTTTCATAACATAAAATTTAGAACTAGCTTACAGAAGGGGTATTTTACAGCCGGTCTCACTTAAGCAGAATAGACTATGGCACCCAGTGATGCACAACTTTCTGCCTTCTCTGTAGATTTAATACAAGCAAGGACTGAAAAGCTAAATAACTTTCTAAGTGTATTTTGACAGCAATACATGCTTGCAGGCTTTGGACAAGATCCTGCCATGCAGCGCTATACAGTTTGAAAGACCATTGTAGCTTTGAAATAAATTACAGTAGACTCTTTCAATCATGACTAACAGCCAGAAAGTGCTGTTCTGTTTCTTTGGTTCTAACGTCACAGTAGGGTGGGTTTATCATACCTGCATGAAGTTATATGGGCCCTGCATCTGTGCCATAAGGTCCTGTACTCGCTGTCTTCTAACAAGAGGATCTGCTTGAGCCACAGTAGTGAGCGTGTGGGGTTCAGGAACAGGAGGAGATGTAGCTTGTGTCTGTTGCTGCAGCGAATTTACAACCTAACAAGAAACAAGCAACCAACTGAAATTTCAGCTTAAGGTAACACCGCACAAAAGGGACTCAGCAGTTCTTGAAATGTATGGTTATTGCCTAATTCATTTTGGACATAATTACTATAGTGTTCTTGAAGAAAAATACTACATCCTCCTACAGTCATGCCAATACTGGTGGCCAGCTACTGATCTGAGCACTTCACAGGATTAGAAAGTTCAGACTGTTCTCTTATTTTCTTTCCATCTACTCTAGTCCCCATTAAGAACAGTCCAAACAAAAAATTTGGTAAATTATGGGGATTTTCATAGAGCAGGATTTGAGACAGCAATTTATCACCATTTGGAAGTTTAAAGAAAGTCAGGAAAGAACAAGTTTCAGAAATATGCACAGATGGAGAACAACTATTTTCTCATACCTTTTTGGTAAACCTAAGCAGAGTCAGAATTTTGGGGTATGAAGACTTCAAAAATTTGAAATTTTCATAGCCATGTCTAGACCCAGTTTACAGCTGCTATCCTAGCTAGCTGATCTATGATCTCAGAGAACAGCAAGCAGCACTGTGTGACAGAAAGACTGCAAGACAGCACGGTTGAGAAGCCCATAAGCAGAAGCACAACTCATAGTGGTCAAGAAAGCTCAGATTTACTAGACATATTCCAATACGGTGCACATAAACAGCAACTTGCTTTCAAATACCACCTTATCAAAGACAGCAAAAGCAACCAGGAGAAAGCTGAGCATGAGCATCTAAGATCACCCATCATCAAACAGCTTGAGAACAGTTACAAGGACAGCTGAGCTGCACAAAGTAGCACTTTCATGTGTCTAATCAGCTTCGGTCTTCAGGCAGCTCCTCTAACACAAGTGCCATTTTCAATTTGCATTCATGTCAACAACTGTCCTTTAAAAATAAGATCATTGTCAATAACTTGTCTATTGCCTCTCTACTCCCATGTGCTCTTAATTATTAATAACCTTCCAGATAAACAGGTAGCCTTAAACTTAGTTGCACACAATATAAATTAGAATACATGCAACTCAAAGATCAAAATATTTACGTCAAATATCTGTTTTCTTGTTAGAACTGTGGAGGACAGATTTTTGTACAGCAGTCATGACAAGTGACATCAGTCCTATTTTATATCAGTTTTATAATCACAGGTCTGAACTTTAAACCTGAACTCCTGCTATCCACCCTCAAAGCCTGTAATTTAAAAAAAAATTTCTCAAAGAAACCTACAGCACCTTCCAGTATGCTTACTCCTTGCTCAGATTCACATTTTTTGAATGTGGCATTCTGCATATGCAGTTGCCTCACAAACTCAAATGACTCTTTTCTTCATCAAGTCCCTAGCCATCTATAATAACAAATTTAAAAAAAAAAATCTCTAAAGAAAATTTAAAAGCAACCACAACCAACATTACTCTTCAAGATTTCCTTCCAATCCAAATATCCACTATTAGCCACCCAAAGAGAAGGAATTTGACAATTCCCATGGAAGTATAGCCTAAGGCTGTCCACAAGCACAACTGCTCTGCTCTATTGCACAGTCCCCAAGCTATGGACTGTTTCCAAATTAAGAATTAAGCCCTGTGAGTAATGTTTAGAGCACACATGTAGACCTCTTGCTCATTAGAGTTTCAAAATGAAAGAAAAAAAAAAGCAGGCCAGCTGATGAGGTGAAACTTAAGAGGTAAAACCAGCAGGTACTCATTTCTCACATAATTATTACCAAAAATGTTCTCCATTATTTGAGTACTTTTACTCAACTTATGAAGTCCAAGTTATTCATAATTCATTGTCTTCAAGAAAACATGAGCTGATGGAATAGTAAGGAACACAGAGCAGGGACAAAACTTTATCAAATGTTTTTCTTTTTCAGAAATAATACAGTACTAACTTCAGATGGTGATTAGTATTTTACAGTATCTTATTCAAAGCTCTTCTTTTAATGTCAAAAGGAACTATTAAGCGCCTATTCCTTTCATCTTATTATCACCACCTGGTACTCTGACTTATTATAATCAGAGTAGGATGAAACTATTAAAAAAATTCATGTTTTGCATATTAAATTGCCAATGGACAGGAGGTAGTTCTAAAGTTAACAGTTTTCTAACCATCTGCTGCATGAAAAAGGTACAGAGACTACTCAAATAAAAGGATCATTATTCAAAAAGCAAATTACTACCCGACCATACATCTCCATTCATCTTGAGGGCCCTGCAGCAAAGTGAAACCTTCCTTTTGCGAAAATAATTCTCTCTGCAGAATAGTATTTGACTCATCACACTGCATGCTCACCTTCTGACACCCTGCCCCTTGACCTTCCCAGTAGGCAGAGCTGCTCAGACACAATCAGAGAAGAATGACAGGGGAGAGAAGGCCAGGGGGCAAATGAGGAGTTGAGAAGGAGGGGTAAAACCTAAGTTTAACTAGACCACAGACCAACCAGAATGAACCTGTATTCTGGCAGTCACAAACCAGTTTCCAATTCTACACAAAATACACACACATCCATCCAACCAAAGGTCCATAATCTCAGACACAAGAGAACCTTGTATACAAGCAGATTCGGATACTTATAACAAAGGAAGCATTTAAAAGAAAAATATAATGAAACAAAACAACAACAAAAAAACAACAACAACAAAAAACCACAAACAAACCCACCACTATTATCAATAAATGGCAACTTCACCAAAATTAAATCATGATATAATCCAAATGCAAATACACATTGAAAAATCACAGGCAAATTCTTTAGTTCAAAAACCTATGGAAGACCCATACAGAAGTGTCATTGTGAGACACCATCACTTAAGCTATAAACATACCATAGCACAGAAATCTTGAGTGTATCACATCTACTGGAGGGCTACTGAAAAAGAGATGAGTTTGTGATAGCCTTAGATAGCCCTCCCTTCCTCTTCCTGAACATAAATGGTCTGTTTCAGAATATATCTGCTTCCAAAACTAACAGCTATCATTCACAGCTCTTACTACACTACTGCTACAACTACCTTGAGCTTAAGAGCACAAAGGCTCTATACAATCTCTATCATCATCTTCCCTAAGGACAATTCAGTTGCGTTCCCAAGAGAAACGGGATTTTTGGTGCCAGTAAGAACAGCAAGAGTTGTTTCAGAGACAGTTATTCTCAACTTCCCCTTTTTGAGTTAAATCTGAGAAGATTAGGTTTTTAGTTATAAAGCAGCAGTCTTTAACTCTGTTTTTTTCTAAATTGCTCATTTGTACATAGTCCAAGAACTGGGACAGAAAGGACAACTGAAGTACATATTCATTGTATTGTTCTCTGAAAACAAAGCTGATATAATCCAGATTTAGCTGACTAGTAAAGACATTGGAAAATTAGAAGTTTTTGAAATCAGTCTGACACAAAACTGCAAACTGAATTTTTTTACAAACTGGTAACAGTTAGTGCATGTTATTGTTATTCCCATGAGGAAGTGTCTGAGATTTCAAATGTGCAATACACAGCTGTATAGTTTAAAAGAAGAGGGAATTGCAACGGGTTTAGGTCATAGGGCATTTCCTATAGTCTCATGTCCACATCCACACTATGTATATTAGGAACTATAGAGAACTGAACATCTGAGCTACTGTGAACACTTGGTAGAAAGACATGTTATTTGGGTCTAATTCAAGATAGATTGAAGCAAATGAAAGTGTTAACTTTAAAATACTGTGTCTTATAAGAATAGTCCAATCAAGTGTATCTTTAATGTGTGCTTCTGAAGGGTTTGTTTTTTAAAGAGATTTCTTAAATCACATTCAATACCAGAGATATTCTAGGGTGTGTTAATCAAGGGAATGGAATACTATGACAAGATAATACCAAATTCATTCACATACATGGCAGAGTTGTCTAGTTAGTTCTAGAAGCCTCACACTCATCCTAAGTATTATTAAATTTCTTAGTGGTCCTTCAACACCACAGGATATGAATCTCAGCCAGGCTGAATGTGAAATCTGGCACATTACTCAGATCAAAACGGCTGTCTTCTTCACCACTTGAAGAGATGATGAACATTTACTCCACTCCTACACTTAAGAGTCTGAAGACACCAAGGTATAAAGTCTAAAAAACTGCCTATCTTTAATCTCCTGCTGCAGAAGGCTAAAGTGACTAAATAATTAAGTCTCCAGCATCTGAAAGATGCTGCTTGTATGTGTTCCTAACAGTGGGGTACAACCCAAGTTTCAACGTACCAAATATTTGAATGACTCCATGTGACTTCCAGTACCTCAAGAACACACATTCTAGTACCATAAAATGATGGACTTGTACATGTAGTTAAGTCTGAAGTATAAATTACTAAACCGGGAATGGATCCCAATAGCAATGGACCACAAACGTAACAAGTGAACAATCACTCAACTGCAAAGCAGTAACAAGTTAAATACTTGAAGAACTATAGTTCTTGAAAGCAGAGATGTACATACAAGCATACTTTAGTATCAAATTATGTGCATATGCGATCTGGAGTAGATATTAGCTGAGATATTAGTTTTCAGCTGCCTCTCCATGGAACTGCTCAATGAAATGCACAACTATGCCATGCTGTCAGCAGCTGTGTAGATAAACTTAAGTACCACATTTGCAGCAAAGTTCTCTTTAAAAAAAAAAAAAGTCCTCAAAAAAGCTTTTACGTCTTTTTAAGCCTAAGACTTTTAAGTCCCATTTTCCCAAGCAAGCCACTACTGAACAAAAGCAAGTTCTCCGCAACTTAGACAGACTGCATAGTTTTTATTTTAGGTATTCCTGAACTAAATATGTAATTGAAGGATGAGTAGCAAGTCCAAGCCTAGTTAAATGTATTTTATATATATATACTGGGGGAAAAGGGGTGAATACTAAAACCTATCATGAATTGTGCATCAGCGGAAACAGGGATTGCAATTTTACCTGCAGTACACAAGATCTTACCTCAACCGTTTCAACTGTCCACTCATCTACCTGTTCCTTCTCACTACTGCTGAACTGAGTCTCTGCCATGAATTGTCTGTTTACATACTAAAATAAAAATAAGAAAGTGTATGAAAGTAAAAGTAAGTGGCATTAAAGCTGTACAAAATGACAATCTTTCCAGTGAGTAATACCTCAGTTGATTCAACTTCAGTTGGCTCAGTAAACTCTTCCGCTGGATCAGGTTCTGTAAGAAAAAGATACCATTTATGTGGAAAAACCCCCCATGTTGCAGACCCAGAAAATACAGAGTTAAATGAAAAAATCTCCCCCAATAGAAGTGGAATTTTGAAGACCTCTTATGCATTTTTGCAGTAGTCATTTATCAAAAACATTAAATAAGTGTCCTGGACTATTTATTAGCACACAGGAAGTACAGCTAGGTAGAAGAATTAATGGACACACATTTTCTCCTGAGTGACATTAATACCTAGTATTAGGAGCTTGCTACACATTAAGGAAGGAGTTGCCTTGTCACAAATCTTCAAGCTGATGGGATTTTGATTAGATCTGAAATTAGAGCCTCAATGTTGCTGATTTTTACAGGTAAGTATCTGCTGGGTTCAGAAAAAAACCTAATGTTACATGGTAGATGAAGAAACTTGAGTCTCAGAAGGAAGAAAACAACATGTCAGGACATTAACAGAGAATTAACAATAACAAAAATTGTCAAAAAAGAAAAAAAATCACATTAAATTCTTGCTATGAAGAGTTATACTCGGCTATCCCAAATTAAAATTTTATTCACAACATATTCAAGAGGGGAAAAAAAGGTCATGATTTTTTTTCTTAAAAGTTTGGTACCATATTCTTGAGTTTCGTAAGTATGTAAGCATACTCTTTGCTTCAAAAACTCTTCCCTTTCAAGAAAGCATTAAACTGGTTGGAACCATCGAAAAATGAGAAAGCCTCAGGTAACGAGAACTTTAATCTTTCATCATTTTAATAGTACAAATGAATAAAATTCTGTTTATAGATCATGACTTCTGCAGGAAAACAAAATAGGAAAAAGATGTTGGCAATAATTTTCAATTGCATAAACCTGCTTGTAAGTAATTTCACTGTTAGCCTGGGTTCTTATGTGACATACTGGAGAGACAAATACTGAAATACGTGTTCAAAACCAAGTACTATCAAGTGACTTTGTTCCTTCATTCAGCTGACGCTCCAGTTAGAACTGTAAGCCTTTCCTTGCACATGACAGAAGATATTTATGATGTGATCATTAGAAGGGATTACAGGCCCTCCAAAGAAGCAGCTGGTAAGAGCAAGCCTTATGGAACTCTTCTGAACACAGCTCTGCTCTTCTTTCTTCATGGCTCAGAGCAGAGCTGGATGAATAGCTGCCTGCCCTTATATATGTTGCCTGGCCAGATGGATACCCGATTATCAAGAAATGACATTTCTATTCAAAACACTAATACACCCTAAGAATTCAGAGACAGGTGTTTTTCGCACTTAAAACTGCACATGCAATTTAATCATTCTGGTATATCCAAAGAGACAAGACAGCACAACACAAACAAATATGCTAGTCACAAGGCATCTTCATGTTCTTACCAGCTTCTGCTACGGTGTCTTCTACTGCAGGTGCAGGCGCTGCCTCTTCTTCCTCACATAATCCGTTCTGATGGTTGTGGGTGCTGTCAAAGTAACTAGTTTGAAGAATACGTTCGACAATCTCCTTCAGCGCTTTATCTAGGAAAATTAAGAAGTTAATAGATAACAGTAACTCAATCCTAATCATCGTTTCCTTCCTTCCCAAGAATCCCACATGAATTTTATACACCTTTCGTTGGAAAGGTGTTGCTGCCCCAAACTAGTCCATGGACACTACTGTTACAGAATTTCTTCTGCCTTACTACACTGTATTAAATAAAGCAATAAACAATCCACTTCTCACAAAAATCTAAAGGACAAGGAGAATCTTAAGAGTATATAGTACTTTTCAGAAGATTTGTGAAATACTTCAAGTTGAGGTAAAGTTTATGAATTTAATTATCATACTTTTATTCCCACCACTTCAAAAGTATCTGCTTAGTTTTCAGTTTGGAAAGTTCTTGAAATTCACTGAAGTTTCAACTGTAATTATTTGTAATTTCCCAATTAAAAAAAAAAATCTTACTGTAAATCCATTTCTTACAAAACAACTGTCAGTACAAATTTACACAGGTACCACCTTCAAGTTCTTCCCCTGAAGCAAAGTGGCTCAGAAGAGCCTTGCAAGCAAAACCAAGCACAAGCCTGCACTCAGTGCCTCAGACAAATGCTGTGACATCTCAATGCAAAACAAATCGGTCACATTGGCAAGGCAACATTACTGACTGTCTAGGCCAACAAAAATCAAAGTAGACTCAAATCAGAAGATTCACAACACACATCTGGCAAGTGATAATCACTGTATGAATCAATGCCTACACAGAGGAGAGCACAGAAATACATTAACTTTCATCCCTATTATAAAACAAAATAAACCAGCAATGGCTGCCAATGACATCACTGAAATCTCATCCTGAGATCCAGACACAATACCCAGCCCAAATTCATCCAGGAAGAGAGCCACTAGGTCTCCAAGGAGCATGCATCAGCTCTCTCTGAAAACCATCCCCATCCCTTCTCCTTCCTCCACCTCTTGAAAAAATTGGTGGTACATATCTTTGGGCTCTCACAACAATCTAACATCACAACCATTTCAGACTTGAGTTCTTGTAGAAAAAACATTAATTAAAATAAATACTAACCTGTTACCTCCTCACAAAATTTCATTTCAACAATATAAGCAATTTGAAGTTCTGCCACAAACAAGGAAAATCTTATTACCATTAAGGTCACCAGTACCTTACAATCTCCTGTGTATCGCTCCTCAATAAAGAAGATTACATAACAATCCCAGTACTATCACTTAACTTTCTATGAATAGAACACAAACCCCACTTCCAACAGTTCAATATTACTCTAATATAATAAGTAGAATTGATTTTTTTTTAAATGGCGAAAGTTGTTAGCCATTTTGCATACAAAAAAGGATTATCTTCCCTAAAACTTCCCTACTGATTTCCAATTAAGGGACTTCAAAAATTCCCCATGATACAGCCTAGCAGAGCCATTTTCTTAAGGTCTAATTTTAGAAGCCATGTATTTGTGAAAATTTTACATTTCTGCAAGAAAGAAGTCATCCCCATGACCACACCTTGATTTACAGCATTAATCAATCAAAGTAGAGCAAAACCAGAATGCTTTTTGCAGGAGACAAGGAGGAGTGAATATCACGCTAAGGCCATGCCAGTTTATCTATTTAATGGTCATATTATTGACAAAACTTTGTTTCCAGAAAACAAAAAATTGTTACTAAGCACCAACGGCAGAATACTGCTGAAACAGCAGGTACAGACTAAGCTTAAATACCGAGTAATGCTGTATCAGTTAATTAAAAAAACCCCACCAAACTACAAAGTAAATTGGTACTTGAATAAATTACTCTGTTACAATCCAGCTAAGGTCTGAAAAAAAAAAAAAAAGCAGTTACTCTAAAACCTCAAAGGTAATAAACTGCCAAAGTCCTCTTTTATATCACTCGGTGTATTTTAGTTCAAGCACAAATTCAGTGAGCTATCTCTTAATACAAAGACTATACTTACAGGTTGTTCCACAAACTGGTTTTTCCTTCCCTTCCAGTAAGTCCCACAGGTGAACAGACGCTTGCTCATACTGCTCATTCAACCTCAAAATATTAATTAATAGGAGTTAATTTCTTACCAAGTCTTTAAATTAGAACAGGACAAACACATCGTTAACTGACAATTATAAAGAGAACTACTTTACAGTAAGCCTACCTCATGCTCATGTCTCGTTCAGGGTAAACTAGCTTGTAGAACTCATCCAGCATTGTCAGTTCCTCCTCTGTCAGCACAGGTACTCCATTTGATCCTTGTTTCAAGTCGTTGCGCACTTCATCATCACCCAACTTGTCCAAAATAAACTGGAGCTCTAGTACAGTTTTTAAACGCTTCTGTTCAGCTTCTTCTCGCATCAGTTGCTCCCTGCGAGCTGTCTTTTTTATTGTTTTCTGGATCTGTTTAAAAGAAATTTAAATTGCTTAAACATGTATTCTGTAGTGAACTCAGGGGGAAAAAAAACCAGATTTGAAATGTCTTTTATTGATAGAAGTGGATGTTGGTGTTGAACTGCCACTTATCAAACATTACAGCAGAATAACATGAAATTTAAGGAACTTCAAAATCAATGCCACAAACCTTGGATCAACTGGATCTTGACCTTATTCTTACTCAAAGCCTGTGCTTCTCTGCATGACTTATAAGCAGTTCAGTCAAGTAACTGCAGTTACCATGTCTAAAGCTTTAGACGCAAATGTGTTATTTGAAACAAGCCCGGCTTGCTGCTCTGCTTCTTTATGAGCTATTCTTTAAACACCAAGTGATTTTGATCTAGATGAAAATGGCAAAAATGTATAAAATTAAGTAATTTTTAAACAAACATTGTGGCTATTTACAACTTCTGGCCTCCATACTCAAGGAGGACTTACAGCCATTAGAAAAGGTACAGAGAAGGGCAACTCAACTGATTAACGTAACAGAACAGCTACTTTATTAGCAGAGCCCAGGCCCTGGGTTCTTCAATTTGGAGGAGTAAGAGTGATCCAGATTTTTCATAAAGGCCGCAAAGGCCAGCAGATAACAAGAACAGAGCAGTTATTCACTGTATTCCACAACAGTAGGAGGCATTCATTGAAACTACTAGGAGATCAGCTTAAAACAGATAAACAAAAGTACTTTTGTTTCTTATACACCATGGGAGGGAACTCATGGAATGTTTTGCCATGGAAGGCTGTGGAGATAGTATCAGCAAATTCAAAAAGGGTTTAAACAAATTCTTGGACATGAGGTTCACAAACAGACACTAAAGGGAATAGGAATGCATCTACTGTCTAACATTCTCAGTTTGAGGATCATGGAGCTGGAAGGGAATGGATGACACAATCATCAGCCCTGTACTCTGCATAGTACCTTCGACAACTGCTGTCATAATACTGGTCTAAATGCATCACTAGTCTGAACCTACAGGATGTTTCTTCCATTCTCACTCTCAATCCAAGCATCTATCATCCAAAATTCTGCTTGCTTAGTCTATAATTATACAAAAATTTCATCTTTTTCAAAAAATGTAACTTGTGACAGTAGCGTTCTCCCTCTGAAGCATCTCAACTTTTTTTAAAAATCAAAGACATGTTTTAGGATCAGCTGTACAAGAACTAACTCCACGAAAAACTGCAACCAGTTTGAAAGCAGTGCACCATTACCCCTGGATTCACTTGCTTTTAGCAGTCAGCTGACCAGAGAAATATTTCAGGACAAACTTGTCTGAAGAAGAAAGTTCTTCATTACTAACATTCCATGAAAACACATGGAACCCTGATGCAAGAAAAGCAATGAAACAGCTTGGCTTAGAGGCCTACAAATTTACAATCGCATAAAATGTAGAAAGCAGTTTATAATGTGAGAGTGCCAATGCCCTTCAAATTATCAGTGTCTGTTCACAAACTAAATACACTCGTTAGACCAGTCTGCTGCACCAACATTGACTACACAAAGAATTCTACCAATGTTGCTGCTCTTTCCGTAACTCATTAACTCATTAACTGTATTACTGCATTTAGAATCTTCCAGTCCTGTAGGATGGTTTACCCTTTCAGCTTGCCCCAGAATTAGTTCTCCCTTGCAATGATACTGCAGAGGTCTAAAGGACATATTCGTTTGCAGCTCTTGGCACAAAAAATAAAGCAAAGCTGTTCATACAACCAGAATTGTCTACTCGAGTTTTAGAACTTATTCTTGATTACACTTATTTTACATCCTTAATAAAACATCAACCCAAAAGCTGATCTGTTTTACTAGTATTCAATTACCTTATCCTTTACAGTAATAGTATTAATCTTGTCTCATACTGTAGTTTCAGACTATATTTGCAATTACAAATTGCAAGAATCTTGATAAAGGAAGTGCAATGACTTCAGCTGCTGAGACTGTATACCCTGCAGCAATATAAAGAAATGAAAGCCCTCAGACACTTGCCAAAGGGAGAAGCAGGCCTATGAAATCAATTTCTATTAAGAAAATGTTACTATTTGCCATCTATAATGTTGCACGACAGGCTTATTCTGTGATCACACTGTTTTCAACAGTTTTGTTTTGTCAGAAAATTACCACATCAGTTTTGTTCCCATACATTTATGTAGTCCATCAGAAAAATATTTTGGGAATAGTTTTCAGCAAACCTAACAAAAACTAGTACACAGTAAAAGAAAACTGTCAAACATGTAAGAAATTATAAGCACCTCATGTCTCTAAACAAAGGTGACTACTGCATCTAGTATTAGTGAAAGAGAGTTTAAAGCCCAAGTGTTAGGATAGCCCCCACTGCACTGCTTACTCTTTACTTACGTCTTGGCTCAAAGCCATAAAGCTCCTCTGCAGTTCTTTAGCAAATTCCAGATTATTTGTCACTTCCTGGTATTTTGACACTGCATCCTTGAAAAGAGAAAAAAAGAAAAAAAGAAAAAAGGTGAAAACACAGAAGTAAATCATCACAAATAAAACAAAATACATACTTCCAAAAATTCCCACATTTTTAGTTCCCAAGTGAGATACACCATCCCTGTATGAGACTGCAAGAATGTTAAGTCAAATTTTGATTTTCACTGGCCTAAATATTGAAAAAACTTGTCTGTGCCTTCAGGGCTTCTGGTTTCTTAGATAACTACGCTAAAGCATATGTATATATATGTTCAACAAGCATGACATACTGGTTTAAAGTTTGGCTTTAGCCAGTTTCTGTCAAAAACTAACTTGCAGACCAGAGGAATGGGGGTGAAGAGTAATCTGGCAACTCAGAACTGCTCAAGAGATAAAGGTTTGAGAAGCAATGCATTGTGATCTTGAGTTAAGAGCCAAAATCAAAGTGCTATACAGAGCATAATGTTCCCTTCTCCAAAAATCTTTCATTATTTGCTATTTTCTTGAATCTAATATTCTGATTTGCACCAAAGCAATCCAAGCTCCTTAACCCACTTTGCAGTACTGAGAAAATACAGAAAATCAAATTGAGGTGGGAAAAAAAAAAAGGACTGAGACATTTACAGTTCTGCTGTGACAAAATTAATAATGGATATGTCCTTGGTAAGAACAATTGAGCCAATTTGTTTGAAAAGCAAGGAACATGAACCATACTTGCTTTTTTTTCTTAAGTGTTTCCATTTGTAATACAGATAAAAAACTTACACAGACACATATTACATAACAGACATATACATTAGGTGATTTACACAATTCATTATTCTTAGACAATCTGTAGAAGCAGAAGTCATAAGTGAAAGTAACAAATACTTTCAGCATTTCTCCAACCAAGAAAGATTTTTTTCTTTATGAAATGTGGTAGTCAGGCTGTGGCCTTTATAAAACTCAATCATGAGCTTCCCTCCTCAATCCGAAATTTCAGTTATCTTCCCTGCTCATCAAACAGAAAACTTCCCATGTTTTTTCACAGTATCAAAAAAAAATACACAGATCAGTGATATTTCAGTTGGCACGGAAGAACCAAAGCGAAGCCTAGAGAAATGAAAAGATCACATGGACCAACAGAAGCAGCTAATTCTTTTAATTGTGAACAGCTGCAAGAGTTGCAGGGTACATTCTTTTTTTCCCTTCACTTTTTCCAATGTTAAAAATCATCAACAAAACGCTGTTAATTAGTGAGCATCTGGTAATCTCCAAGTACCAATATGCATGTTTGCATCATACAACTGAATTAAATTTCATACTCGCTTTATATTTACTACAAGAGGAAAATGGCTGTTGAGTCAAGCTCTACAATAACCTACTTTAAGAACCAGCCCCAACAAGGAGAGAAGCAGCATACATCCACTAAACCCAGCTTATCTAGAGCGTCACATCTGCTGCACTGATAGCTGTGATATACACATGGACATAGCTTATTTTCAAGAGCCCTTGGTCTAAGCTACATCTCTAACCACACTGCACAATATTTACGAGCTACCACCAAGTGACTAAGCTCCTTAAGTTCTCCCTGGGCACATTTTCTGTGAAGAAAAGGATCATGTCTACAGAACCTAAAAGGTATCAATTAGTTCTTTCAATAGTCCTAGGTTGTAACATATGACAAATTTCACCACAGCTTATTTACAACCTAACCTCAACAAGGATAAGGCATTACAACACTTTCTCTACCTATTCTTGAAAAACTGAGATGTTCTAGGCAATAAAAACTGAGGCCAAGTCAGAACTCAGAAACTCTTTGCTTTTAACAAGGGGAAAGGGGAAGTGAAATTCATCCCTCCCCCATGAAGATCACAAAACAATTTAGCAGAGAACTTCTTAATTTTTTTCTTTTTACCAGTTGATCTTGATTCAGACGTTCTCCCTTGTTCATTCGTTCCTGGTAATCATCAAGTTTGCTCTGAAAAGAAAGAAAAACTCTATTATGAAGAGCTAAAATGAGGTTACTGCTTTTTCTACTTATGCTAACAAAATCATGTACTGTAATATTACAGTAAACACAGACCATAACACATTACACAAGCATGCAACTGTCATATAGAAATAGTACCCGAGAAAGAATGTCTTCTGAATTAAAAAAATGTAAATACTTCCCTGAGAGACAAATACTTTAAGCTTGGCTATCACAATACATCTTCATGACTAGTCTTAATTTCTGAGGAAATACACATGAAACTGCCCTCAATGCACATTTCTTCAGTCCAAACAGAGCTGAACTCAGTTCTGAGTCAGAGCTTAATACCACTGTATCACCACAATACCAAAAATCTGACTGCAAAAACCCACTATTAAGATTCAGAACTGTAATTCTTTGTAGTTGCATCAGTTAACATAGTTTTAAAGAATTTAAAACAGTTTCTCACCCTTTGTGCAAGAATGCCCACCAACACAATTCCTATTAATAGCTCTAAAATATTTCTGTTCAAGGGCATTAAGATTTCTTTTCCATGAGGAGAAACTGGAAAAGGAATCATTAGGTTAATTTTCAGCAGGATCAGTTCTCTAATCCGCTTAAATACAAAGCCATATGAAACACTGATATTAGCCAAAAGCAGGTAAAACATATGCATGCCCAAGTGACAAAAGATTCTACAGGCTAGGTAGAAAGATTCTTACAAAGGAAGCAAAGTCTGTAAGAATAACATACCTTACTAAACTCTTAAGTTTTCACCATTTCTGTATTATCACATGATAGGATTTTTTATGAAAATTGCATGATTGTATTAAAAGAAAACTATTAAAATGAATCCTTAACCATTATCTTCCCAATCTAGCATAACAACAACATAAAACCATTTCATTTTGAATGTGAGGAGATTAAAAACCCCGATGCAACCATTGTTTCAGAGTTTTTATTTGCCACTGACAGGGTTTTTTTGTTGGTGCTGGTCTTTGATTTTTTACTATTTTTGTTTCAGGACATTTCAGTTAAGATATTTTACTGGTAGTTTTCTAGCTAGTTCAACTTCTATGCTCAATCTCAGACCTTCGGGAAAAATCCAAGTCTGTGAAACAGTTTAACAAGAAAGTTCTTCTTACAAAGTATTTGATGCCCAGCATCACTTACTAAAACAAATAACCACTCTTACAAGACTTGTTTTTTTGATGTCACCAACAGTTTATTTCTCTGGAAATCCTATGGGTTGGATATACCAAAACCTTTCAGCATATCTGAGCCAGTAATGGCCTAGGCAAATTCCAAGAACTTCCTGAGCCCCAAAAATGTTTTACTGAGCATTTCACGCTGGGGACTGACACCAGCAGGGTAACAGTTGTCAAACGCAGCAGCCACAGTTCGTTGTAGATTAAAAAAATAGCCCTGAAGAGCATCTGGCATATTGGAAATCTACCACAACAGGAAATAAGGTCATTTTACTCTTCCACCTACTAATTTTGGAACAGATGATGACATGGTTGGACAATCACAGAAGTAGTTTTAATGGTTTAAGAGATCATAGCTGAGCTGTGAAGTCAAAAGGGAGGGTAAAGAGCTCAAAGCCAGCCAGGTTAACAGATGCCTCTACTGCTTAAGGTAGCTTAAATCCTACAGAGAATTGGCTTTGCAGACAAAGACATTTTTTAAGGTTCCTATTTGCTCAAGTTACTCCCATGCTGCAGATTATAATTCCCTTGGTCACACTGATGCAATCACTTGTGAGGCTACACAGTAAATAAGACTGCTAATATAAGCCAGTTTAAACAGTGTCTACAAAAATGACTTAAAAAACCCAATAATTTCTGTGATCCAGTTTCCAACACAAACCCATAAAGAACAAAAACAGTAAAGCAAGCCAGATAGAACATCAAATTCTAGAACACTACTTAGGTCAACTTTGTTGCAGAAAACATATACTGCCAAATTACACTGCAAAACATTCATAATCCATTTCGGTGGCTAAGGGCGTAAGGGAGGGAAGACACAAAAATACCCTAAATAACTACAATTGTTTCTGCATACTTTTTCCATGCAGCTTTACTTCAGCATGGTTGGTAACTTCAGATGAAGCATACTGCCATAACATACTCAAACACTGCTTAAGTTTTTCTTAAATGGTCAAATATTCTTAGATCTAACGTAAATGCTTTGGTTTTATTCAGCAGCTTATCAACTTAAAAACAAAGGGTACTATGCCTATTTCTAATCATTAGGAACAGAAAAACCACTTCACTTTTTCTTCCTTAGAAACATTTGTATCAGAAAGGTAAAAGCAAAAGAAGGAAAGTCCTTTCAGCTGCAATGCAGAGGACAAGCAAATGTGTATTTAGTTATATGTTATCACAGAGATTTAAAATGCTAAGTAAGCATTTTTCTGTCATCCCAAAGACACTAAGATCCAAATGCTACATTACATAAAAATACTAAGGAAGCAAAATGCTTTCTTTTTCATCCGTACTGTCAACTAACAGCAACCTAAGAGCAGCATTAGTGCTGTAAAATAACTGCAGTAAAATTCCTGCTTAGCAACCTACTGCAGTGTCTGCAAGATTTTCTTAATTCTACCCCACCTTACACAACTTCATCCTCACTCATCATGGACATAGATCTTGAAGCATAAAAGCTAAAGCAGCAGAGGGGGGGAGAAAAAAAAAAAATCAAGTGCAAAGTGAGCACATAAATTGTCTATTAAACAGCTCATGAGTCAGCAGAGCCCGGTTCTGCAGACAGCAAGCCACCGTGCTTCAGCTCCTTTTCCACTGACAGACCTGAAGTATTTTGGAGTTTCCTAAGAGAAAAGCACTACCCATAGGCTATGGAAAGGGGAGGCAGGGGGAAGGTGGTGGTGTTCATTGCTTAAGTATGCCCTAGATTTTATTTTAATAGGAATCCAAAATTGAATTACTTTATTATGGTAACAGATAATTCCCCTCACACTCAAGTTCTCATTACCTCCGATGAATTGCCTCTAAAATGTCATCCTAAAGTGAAAAAAAAATGCAGTTACATTACATTAGCTTCAAAAAACAATACTGGTTTTAAAAATGCCTGACCACTCAGCTGTGCTGTTACAGTCATTTACAGTGCTATGCTATAAACTGGATCACTGGAATGATCTGATTAAAAATAACCCCTAAAAAAAGGGGGCCAGGAGCAGGAGGGAGGCACTATATTTAACCAGATAATTTCAATGGCATGGTTTGTACCAGTTACAGCCACACAAGCGTGTATGACAAGCTGCAAGGTGAAAGGGGAGAAGGTAACCTCTTCAACCAACTGAAGTAAACATTTTATAAAGCACACTTCACTACAAGCAAAGAAGAGGTGGAGGGGACTACTGCAAGTCTGTTTTCTTAGATGTCTCAAAAACCGCACGTATTTTTTAACACATTCAAGCAATTAAGATAATCCAAAATTTAAAATATCTGCCTAATAAATTTTGCACTGAAGCAAAAGAAAAGCCAAGCTACAAAACAGTTTATTGACCTGTTCTACATTTGCACACTGTAATTTATCTGCCCTTCTACCATCATCTCCACATTCATTCACCAGTTTAACTTCTCAGAAAAGACTGCCCGGAAATAATTAAAAAATAAAAATCAGTCTTCCCACTTCCTCAGAAAGCAATCGAAAAGGTAAAACACTTAAAACTGTATCAATTTAATGAGACATGGAAGTTCAGAACCTCTCAAAAACCACCACAGCTCTCACATTCACTGTCTGGGTACACTTCCTATTATATAGACACAGAGTAAGTCCCAGGAAGCTGTTTCAGTCCTGAGTTATAGCCAAGAAGATGTAATGAAACATTAACATCAATACTCTGGAACACAAACTGCTTACGGGTCTTCTGTTTAAACTGAATTTATTTTTGAAATAACAGTTGTAAATATTCTTGCGTTTTTTCCCCTGAAGTCTGGTAAGTCTGACAGTTTAGAAATAAGTATCTCACACTGTATAAGTGAGTGACAGACACAGCAATTCCGAGACCGCAGTCTTGCACAGAGGACACTGATCACAAAAAGGGTGTTCTCCTACTCACCACACATCCTTGACCCTTCCTACACGCCAACAAGGGCAGTGACACGGCCAGACTGACACCTGGGTCAGCAGCCTGATCCAACCAAACACAGAGAGAGATGCAAAACCAGCTAGGAGCAGGACCCATTCCTTCCCAAAGAAATGCAGAACTGATGGGTATGTGCAATTTTCAAAATGTAAACCTTTCAAACTCTTCATTAGTTCACTACAGAGGGGGGGAAAAAAAAAAATCTCTTCCCAAATCACCACACAGTATTTCCTACAGAAACACTATCAATCTACCAGTAAGCTGACTACACTGCAAGAGACCTAGATTTTGTTCTACACATCATCTATGATCAAAAGGAGTTACAATAGCAAGCAAATTCTACAACCACCACAAACTGGGCTCTCCCAACACATCCTGTATAGTTTTTTTCCTAAACAAAAAGGAAAAGCATCAACAAAACATCAAAGCAGCATCTGAAAAACTTAAATAACTAGATCTTTCACAGTTTGTAGGACTTATCATATATCCAGTTAACAGAACTTGCTACAAGAAATAACCCCTACGCTACATAAAACAAAACAAGCTGAAACCATAAAGTACCAAACACCACAAAAGTTCACAGATAAACCTGCTTGCTTTTTAAGATAAAGTTTGGTTAACCAAAACTGCTAATAAGAGAGGTTCCAAAGAAAGATTCAGGCTTTCAATACAGTTTCAAATGAATTCTACAATTTCTTGGTTTCAAAATCACGTTCAATCTCCAAACATAAATTTGAAACCAAGCTTCACAAGGAGATTTTCTGGAGACACTCAGAAACCTTGGAACATCCAAGCGGCCCAAATAATGGTGCAGAAACACTTAAGAGTGCTCCTACTAACAGGGAACTTGAAGCGTGGCACTTCCCTGCTATCATTAGCTGCACCTACAAGAATAGAAAACTGATCTCAGCTTTCACTACAGGTTTGTAACCGTTTCCTATGGGAAATCCAACA